TATCCTAGCTCCGAGTTCCACTCCCAATTCCTACTCAGATTTCAGTGTCGATTTCTCAGCTTCCACCTTCAGACTCCACCAGATTCCTCTCTCAGATTCAACTCTCCCTTTTCAGTTTCAATTTCAGATCCCGACTGTCAGATTTCAGTCTCAGATTTTGCTTCACTCTCAGCTCCCATTCTCAGGTCTTCCACTCTGATCTCAGCTCCCACTCACAGATTACACTTCAATCTCAAATCCCACTCTCAGGTCTTCCACTCACAGATTACACTTCAATCTCAGATCCCACTCTCAGGTTCTTCACTCACAGATTACACTTCAATCTCAGATCCCGCTCTCAGGTTCTTCACTCACAGATTACACTTCAATCTCAGATCCCACTCTCAGATTACACTTCAATCTCAGATCCCACTCTCAGATTCTTCACTCACAGATTACACTTCAATCTCAGATCCCACTCATAGATTTCACTTCAATCTCAGATCCCACTCTCAGGTTCTTCACTCACAGATTACACTTCAATCTCAGATCCCACTCTCAGATTACACTTCAATCTCGGATCCCACTCACAGATTTCACTTCAATCTCAGATCCCACTCACAGATGTCGCACCTCAATCTCAGATCCCAATCTAATTTCACTCCACGATACAACTCTCCACCCACGAGAGGTTGCTTCCTTCTTATCTCGAACACTCCACACTCCCCTCCTAATTCTCACCACTTCCCTGCGAAAATCACTCACACCCACACTCTATCCTCCTACCGATCCCACCAGCGTCTCCACACAATGGCACACCACACGATCTCTATCCCCAGGCCGAAAATTCCTCTGCAACGTTCAAGGGCCGAGTCACCCACATCCCGCGATGATGGGCAACGGCCTGGCTCCCATGTGCAACTTCATGCCCCACGCTGCCACACACGTACAGTCTTTATTTATGATCACGTCAACATCCGCTGTCCGAAATTGTCTTCCGCGCACCGCCGAAGGCATCCCCCCGCCGAAGACACTCTTCTGCACCTTTGTCTATCTATAACAGTCACCCCGACGTCCATAACTCACGGATCCCTGCTTCGTTTGAAACGTTCTTGGGCTTGTTGGAACAAGCATGTTGTGCTCTTTCCAACGAGCCCCTAACAAAGTCAAAACAATATGATTTGAGAAAGTTATGACGGTTTTACTCTTCCGCCGAAGGCGTTTGCCTATCCGCAAGCGTCCGCGTCCTACCCGTAGGCCGCCTACCCACAGGTGTCCGCCTACTTGCAGGCGTCCGCCTACCCGCATGCCGCCTATCCGCAGGCGTCCGCCTACTTGCAGGCGTCCGCGTCCTACACGCAGGCCGCCTACTCGCACGCCGTCCTTGGGCCAAAGGCCCCTCTAACTGTTAACGCCGAAGGCCTCACGCCTAACCATGACAGCCGCTTTCGACGCTCATAACTCATTGATGACTGATCTGTTTCAAGAGATCTTGGTCTCGTTAGAACCAGCGCGTTGAGTTCTTTCCAACGAGACCCGAATCAAGTCAAACCGCTAAGAATTGAAAAAGATATGCCGGTTTTACTGCTTCGCCGAAGGCCTGCAACCGCCGAAGGCGTACGTCCGCGCATAGGACAAAAGTTGATCTCCTTTCCGCGTAGGCGGAATTTCCGCCGGAAGCGAACTCCTTCCGCCGAAAGCGAACGTCTACGTATTTTCCGATAGTCATAACTCCCTAAGTACTCATCCGTTCCAAGCGTTCTTGGGCTCGTTAGAACGAGCGTGTCGAGCTCTTTCCAACGAGACCCTAACCAACGCAAACCGTTAAGAATTGAAAACGTTATGTCGGTTTTATTGCTTCGCCGAAGGCCTGCAACCGCCGAAGTCGTCCGTCCGCGCATCGGACAAAAGTTGATCTCCCTTCCGCGTAGGCGGAATTACCGCCGGAGGCGAACTCTTTCCGCCGAAGGCGAACGTCTACGTATCTTCCGATAGTCAAAACTCCCTAAGTCCTCATCCGTTCCAAGTGTTCTTGCGCTCGTTAGAACGAGCGTGTCGAGCTCTTTCCAACGAGACCCTAACCAACGCAAACCGTTAAGAATTGTAAACCTTATGTCGATATTACCCTTCCGCCAAAGGCGTTTGCCTATGCGCAGGCCGCCTACGTGCAGGCCGCCGAAAGCCTTCCATATCAGAAACTTCCGCCGCTCCTAACTCGGTGCTGCCTTATCCGTTTCAAGAGTTCTTGGTCTCGTTGGAACAAGCGTCGCGAGCTCTTTCAAACAAGACCCTAATTGAGGCAAGGCGTCACACATTGAAAACGTTATAAGAGTTTCACTCCTTCGCCGAAGGCCTTTCCCCGAAGTGATTTCACCGAAGGCACTTCGCCGAAGACCTTGCCCCAAAGGCCTCCTTCCGCACCTCTTGCCCCCTAACCATCACACCAACTCCTAATCTTGCAGAAACTTTCAGAAAATCCCAAGCATAATTTTGCAAGAGCCTAAATCCAAACTTTTAACTCTCATAAGGGTAAAAAGACATGTGAGCACAGTTTTGTGCTCACACATTGCGCCCAACTCCTGGATTCTACGAGATTCTACGAGATCATCCAGTTTCACTCTATTTAAATGTACCGATCGCTATTTACACTGCTGCTGCGGTACACTTTTCCAAAAATGTTTTAAATTCCGCATAAATACCAAAAGTGGGTTACCACAAGTATTTCTGGGAATGACTAGTGCCTGAGAATTCAAACTCGTCAATAGACTGTTATGGTGTGACACTGGATCTTTTCTCAGTTGAGTTTCTCAGTTTGGACCTGTATTTTCCGTGCGTTTTGTGAGTTGAGTGTGTTGTTCACCGCGTGTGGCTGACTTCGGTTTGACGAAGGTACCTCATCCGAAGTAGGAAGTCCAACCCGGGTGCTCTGCTCTAGCAGTCAGAGTTAACAATCCGGAGTTGGGGAACACTACCTGCATATCCGCTGAATTTACTCTTGAGAGACTTTCCCCCTGAACTCTGAATGGAGGTCCTTATCGACCTCTTAGTTGTGCTTTTCCAGCTTCAGGTGTGTGTTGGGGTGAACTACGCTGCACTTTGCGTCCTTCGAGTTGAGCACTTGCAGTATTTCTGGGAGTGACAGTCGCCTGAGAATTGAAACTCTTCAATAGTTTGTTAAACGTGACACTTTGTACTCTGTGTGTTGCCTATGTCCCTATGGGTTCGACCTTTTTGCTGCTATATTGTAGTTTTAGCCTTTGGTGGGTTATTACAAGAGAAAACGTGATAATCTTTTATCAGAGTATTACATTTTATCAGATCGGAGCAAAGAATCTCCGCATGTTGTGAACCATGTGGTATTTTTATGTAAACATCTGAAGACATGATCTAGTCTTGGTTTTAAAGGGTTAACAATCTTCTTCTTTACCCTTCACATTCTTAAACATAATCATGCTTAGCTTTTACCTTCTTTGATTCTAGTTATATACTACCCCTATAGCTGAACTAATCATAATTCCATTTTTGTATTGGATTATCAATGAAGCTTGAGTTATTATTATTTGAGAAATGTCAAAGGTATTAAGTGTATTATAATTAAATGTAATATTGGATTTCATACAATACATGTCAAGATGCAAATTTTAGTTTGTATTTTGTAAATTGGATGGTGTATGGTAACTATATTTTTGAAATCATAGGATGAACCAGGGAAAATGGATTGTGAGATTTATGAATATAAACACATATCAAATCTCTCTGGCTAATTAGATCGTAGATGACATATTTACTAGTTAATTGCGTGAATTGTTTTCAGAGACACGTTTGATATATCAGATTTAGATCATTACCTAGAAAAATTTCTACATTAGTAATGCTACATGACGCTGGATGTTAAAGTTGTTTGTAATGTGTTTGATCATGGAAATCCTCAAGATATAAATGATCTAAGAAAGAATTTCCCAGTGTGTCACAATTGGTGTCTAGCTCCTGGTTTTATGTCCGGTTTTATCGTATTCTGTTCGATGGGGTTGTTTAAATCCCTACGCTCCACTTTCTGTGATAAACTCCAGAATGAAGAAGTTCACTCTAAAAAATTGCAAGAAAGTCCTACAATATGAAACAGATCTTTACTGGTAAAGATAACATAACCTAATTACCCTTAGTTAAATTTTCCACAGAGTGATAAATAACGAATTATGAATTAACACTTTACGATAATGATATCTAAGAGCAAGTTTGATACGTACGTTACTTTTTTCAACTTTTTTATTTTCTCCAATAACCTCAATAATTCCAAAATTTCTCTTTCATGTGATTCACCTGTATCTTTCGCTTGACTAATTCTTGACGCACACTTTCCTATACCATTTAGCAAAATCCCATCACTCATGAAATAATAACATCGTTCATGCTTCCAATTATCACTTTTTCTACCCGTATCAATACTCCAGTAGGAGAGTCCCAATTATGGCTAAATATGATTAAATGGGTGTTGATTGTGTTACATGTACTATCAAAAATAATTGTAACATTTTGGAAAAAGATCCTGTAAACTTGTACACGATCTACACGTGTACAACAAGTACTAACCCTCGGAATACACTCTACGTAAGAAACTTGAGAAAAAAACATTTGTTTCCGTCTTCGAACCTGAGACTTTCCTCGGTTTTCTCTTCAGGAGCTCTCAACTTGAATACCTTCACCAACCATTAGCAAAGTAAAGGGTAACACTCTTTCCATAATTTACGACTGCTATGGATGAACAAGGTTATAATACTTAGATGAAAGTTGCATCATGAATGTTAGTGCGTCATGAAAGCTCCGCACATGAAAGAATGCAACCTTTATCCAAAGGTAAATACTCTCCTTACAATCATATCGAACAGATTTGGAACTTTCCACGTCCTACAGCCAGTAAGACATAGTTGAATTTAGGTTTGACGTTGGAGTACTGAAGTTTTAATGCTTCTTAAATCATGGCATTAAGCATACAAGTGCGTTTGGCTTGACAAAAACATTGTGATAATGGATGGTTTGGATTAAACAAGTTTGGGTTTTCACATCGAACGACTGGACAGCAAATAATCTTCACACACCACACTACTCTTGACTATGTACAGAGAAAAAGAAAAGAAAAAGTGGTCTGAGAAGGCTTATCACGGCCCACAGACGATGAATCGTCACACTTGCTAGTCTACAGACACTCAAGGGACTCCAACGATAGCATGTTAGCTGCAGATCGAAGTCAGAACCTACAGCTGAGGCTCGAGTTCAGATGAAGCACGATCGAGACGTAGAGGGAAGATCCCGACGGTGGCCAACGAGAGAAGAGAGGCGCAATTCCAGAGCGACCGTGTCCGTCGACGCGCATCTGGGATTTGGATTAGTGACAGGATCGAAACTGGTAACTTTCCAAGAAACATTGCGTAGGTCGAGCACCAAAGCCCCTGCACCCCATAGCTCAGCACACCTGAAGAAGATGAAGTCTCCCTTTGCGAACCACTTGAAGACGTAAAACAGGTGCCGGAAGTTGACTGGAATCCGTGTGGCTGGTGGATTCGACCACTGCACCTCTTGCCAGACTTGGTCTTCGGATGACTGCATCTGATTCCAACAGAAGATCGATGGAAAGAGGCCATATGGTTTAGAGAAGCACCTTTGATCCTGTGTTCTGAAGGCTAGTACCAGCGATGTGTTGGACTTGGATATGGTGATGAAGTCGTACTGATCCGCATGATCTTGCGCAGGCATGAGTCCAGGGACAGTATGCCATGTCTTGGACTGCAGAACGAAATTCAGAAGGATCATCTCGTTGCGCTTGTGAACCACGAAGTAGACATGAGTGCCGCAATCGACGTGCGCCACCTGCCTGGCGTAGTCGTATCTGAAACGTAGATGGGAGAAGGGCAGATTTGCAGCCTCGGTCCACGTCTGAGACTCGGAGTCGTACAATCGAGTGGCGACACAGTCTTTGAAATCTGTTCCTCGACAGCCCTCGCTGTGAATGCCTGCGGACAGAGCTTTGAAGGATCGGCCGTCGCGCTGCATCATCACGATTACAGCATTGCATGGAGGGGAAGCCTTGAGTCTAGGATCACAGTAGCCTGGCAGCCTCGTCAACCAGCCCGATATGGGATTGTGAAGAGTGATCGTTGTCCCATCTCGCCTCGTTCCTTCGTGCAATGTGCGCATTGTCTGAATGCACCACAGACCCTGCAAGGAGTCGCTTGCAGGGTCGATGGTTGTGCATGCGGCATGGCCTCGTCGGCCTCTGGTGCTGGAACCAGCTGCGTCAATCCTCTTCTGGGGATAGACAACGGAAGGTGGAAGACGTCTCCACTTGTCGCTCAAAGGAAAGTGGGCATGGAGGCTCTGCTTGCCTCCTCGACTCCATATTACGAGAAAACATGGCTCCGAGATGGACTCCCTCTCACACTGCTCCCAGAAGATGGGTGCATCAATCAACCCCTTCCATCTCTTGCACACCAGTCTCAGTTGCAGAAGCTCTAGCACCGTGAATCGTGCCAGTATATTCTCGATCAGACCGTCTGGTATGTCATCCAAGCTGAAGCCAACCTCATCCGGACTGCCATCGATGACAGCCTTCCACCTCTTGCACACCAACCTGCCATGCAAAAGCTCCATCACTGGCAGACGACTGATGATATTGTCCATGACGATGCGAGGTACAGCTTTCCAGTCCAAAACGAGATTCTTCTCCTCTTTGACAACCATCTGCACGTCGACCCTCTGCTTCTTCTTCCAACCCTCGCCACCCCCCAACACTCTGAAATGTCGTCCCATTCTGCGTCACCGATTTCACCCAATCTCGTATCAGAATGTGAATTCACTGACAGACTACGTATTGCCAAAAAAGCTCCCCAAAGAACATTATCATGCTGAAAGGACTGCAAGGTTTACCTACGGCCCCGGAGAGCTTCAGCCCTATACCCTATCGGGGAGATAGCCTCATTCGGCCCTCTCCCAGATCGTTACTTCAATGGTCACTCGAAAACCTAACAAGTCCAATCTTAATTTCTCCCCATGTGCAAATGCAGTAAGTGGAGAGATGATAGTCCATGATTACTTGAGAAACTGTTCGAAAATGTGACGACCATAATTCCTGTTAAGAAAGTTGCAAGTCTAATGACCCAAATAATCAAATCACGCATCTCCGTGGGCCAGAGGGACCTTGAACCTGCCAGAAGAACGATACGCCAATCTTCTTTGGGATGTATACTTTGTAAATATGACAACGCATCCATCTGTAACGCAAAAGGTATAACTCTCATCCAGAATTCTAATGATTGTATCTAAAACTAACAAAGTGCTTAAGTATTAAATTCAAAAACTTACACTGATATGACCTAGATGATGTACTAATCACACAACGTTAAGATTTTCAAACTCGACATTAAGTATGTACATCAAGTAATGGAAGCCAGAAGCTCTAATGAGTGTGGATTATCATTCGATGCCGTAAGATGAAGTCTTTTTTTTAACACTACACCTGAACAGATACCTTGTGTTGGAATCGAAGATTTTCTGACAATTCTTTGGCAAGCCAAACTACAAGCCCGTCTTCGAAGTACTTCTACTGCTTGCAACAAGTGTTCGCGAACACTCTTCTCCTTCTGTGGGACTGGACTGAACGAGCTTCCGAGGAAGAGATCTTCTTCGAGTTTTCGAGGAAGTTGGGCAATTTGGTTCTGTCCTCCAGTCCTCCAAAAACTGTAAGTTCTGGTCTCCCAAATCGGGGTGCTAAAGTTGCTGTCTGCGGGTGAATCCGTAGGTAAATGAAGGTCTTCGCTCCACGTGTTTCTTCCACGCACGGTTTTGCGACAAGTGTTTTCTAAGTCTTAAGACCTCTCACTTGATTATTGGTCATGGACGAGATGGGCAATTAGCCTCAAGGCTTCTGGTCCGCCGTCGACTTCTCAGCCACATCGTAAGGCTGCAAGAATGAGAACCTACTTTCTGCGCGAGCCATTAAATAGGGGCGGCTGAGACGTAGGCGACCGGAGACTTTAGGTGGCGGGAGGCTTGTGTGCAGCGCCAGAGCAGCAAATCAACGCTGCTCAATCGCTGTCAGGCCAACGAGCTGATCTTTCAAAATCAGGCCAACTCACCGTCAGGCCAACAAGCTGATCCTTCACTATCAACATCGAGATGCAAAGTAGGTACAATCGACAGCACCTGTACTAAGTCATGCTTGCTGGCATAGGAGAGAAGGTAGCATGAATGGTTACAGATTCATAAGTGGCGATGGCGTGTGTTGTCTAGTTACACATTATAATCTACTTGCTTTTCAACCACCACACGACGTACATCAGCCCGGCAAACTCAAACCGCCATCTGCCATAGCTGACGCGGTACGCCTTGTCCTCCTTATATATGAAACAGAGTCATATGAAAAAAGGGACAATGCTGTAGAGTTCGATTTTCAAAGACCCTGAGAAAGTCTAAAATCAAAAGTGGAAATGTGAATCACATAAATGTCTTACACTCTGTAACGTCACTGTCTCTTATTTTTTCTAACATTTGGCGACAAGGGCTGCTCATCTTTGCACCTCCACACTTCCAAAAATTTCAAGCTTTGCTTCCAGATGATTAAGCTTCAGTTATTTCAGATATTTTCAGATATTTTCTTTTGTCCAAGCACCTTTAGAATCACCCTGGTTCATAATAAGAAGAATTATTATTATCCAGAAGTCTGATGGAGATCTTTTGTTCTCGAATTGCAGTAAATGTGAAATGAATTCTCAGGGCTAGGGGTAGCTGAAATGATGTGATGTGGTCAGAAAGGAGGTTTTATATTTGAGAGTCCATTTTGAAGTTGCTGGAGGAGGTATGATTTGAGTGGTAGGCGGAAGTCCTCAGGCGATTGCATGTCAAATTTTTTTGAAATTGAGAAAATCTTAGAGCAAAGGCATGTTCCTTTCCTTCCACTCTATTCTCCAACATGGAACTAGTGAGCTTGGTCACTTCTCTTAAGCAGAATACTGTGAAGAATGAAAGTGTCCAGCAATGGAAGCTTCAGCGGGCAAGGAATAGAGGTTTTTCACAGCAAGTTACATGGGTGACTAAAGACTCCAAAAACATAGAATCTCATGCAAGAAATGGCAGATTAGAGTACAGAATAACTGCATAGATAGAAGATAGTGAAATATATAAACACTTTTTTTGTCTTTTATGAACCCATTGCTTTCAGTTAGGTTGACGAAGATAGCTCGGAAAGAATGTATATTTCAATATGGCATTATTGAGACCAAGTCCATGGCATTTTATTTTATTTCATCCTAGTATAGCTTTGCGTGGTCTTATTATTTTTTACGCTCCACTTCGCCCTCTTACCATATCTTGATGGTTTGTCCGAGAATACAGCATGTATTTAATGGATTTATTTACAATACCACATAAATATACATTTCTGACTGAAACAATTTTGTATCACAATTATCATAGCCTTGCGTCGTAAAGTTGGCTTTCTTGTTATTTTGCAGTGTTTATTATTGTTAACCATTGTGTTTCCCACTAAATAGAACCTGTATCAAATCTAACACTCACCTGACTCTCGGATAAGAATGGGATACTAAAGCTCTAACTTGAAATCCAACCACATATATTTGTATGTTGTGAACGAAAGTCACTTGCCATGGTTTGGAATTTAGTGATTCAAGTAGTAAACAGTACGAGACTTAGTCTGATATATGATCAATGTGATACGTTTAATCTAGTGTTTACCTTCAATACTGTACCTTGATAATTGTATCAATACTCGGTTTATAGTTATTTTGTTGCTTCTTTTGGACAAGGTGGAGAACTGACTAAATTTCAGTGCTTACTAGTTCAACAAACTGATTCCCTAGCTAAAGTAGTTATTTTGCACAATCAATTCCATCTATTCTATAGCATTTACACTGAAGACACTTATCAGATCCTTTACCAAAAAGCTGACCTTCCAGACGCAGGCATAATAATTTACCTGATGTATGCTCTGCTCTAAATATTCAAACCCTGTGCATTTCCTTGATACTTGAGATAACTTACTTTTAAAAATTTAATTTTGTACTGAACATCTTGTCATTAGTGCCGCTCCGAACTGGTGTTCCTTATGAATATAATTTTCTTGATTCTCGAACGTGGTTTTTCATACATTGCTTCCTACCACGAAAGACAAGAGCTATTCCCGAGTGATTTCAACAGTCTTGAAAATGAGATGTCAGTCCACCTTCAACGGAGCTTGTTTCTTTCATTGAAGGGAGCAAACACAAGCATTCCCTGGTTCCAATTTGGTTGTTGATTTTTTCTAGTTTGCCAATGTTTTATTATGTGATAGAGGAAATATTAGGCTCAAATCGTATCTGTCAACAGCAACATCAACACCGTACATTCCACATCTTACGATTCTCATAGATTTCGAATTTGAAAGCCTCATCGTACATTCCACATCCTACTCTGATAATTTCAACTTAGAAAGCCTATAACTTCACCCGAACGCTCCAAGCCCGTTCCGCGTTGGCAGCGAAGCTACAAATTGCTCAAGGCTCTCTCTTTTCTTACATTTTCATACTGCGAACTTGATCGCGGATTGCGTTCAGTTGAGGTTTCACATAGCGATCGCTTTAGGTGATCGCGCTTGTTTTGCATGGGGTGATTGGAGAATTCCGATCAGGACATGGTTTCTCCTCAACTCATCTCTTGTCATTAATGACAAGAGACTAGTTGAGGAAAAACCATGACTTACTTTGGAATCGAAATCGTATCGATCTACGTCTTATCACTGATCTATGTCGTATGCTGTGAAGTGCTTGCAGCAGACAGAAGTCTTCAATTGCGCTGGACCTTTGCCACTCGTTTTGATAGTTTGTCCCTCGTACTCCTCTCGCATCCCTCTGACAAAGTACTCGGCATAAATGCTCATGAGTTATGGATCTTCTGCTGGAGTTTCTTGACCTCGGCACCATCTGGCATCACGGAAGATGTTAATATTGGGAGCCCAGAACGTCAGACCCAAACGTCAGACCCGCCTGATTCTCGTTGTGTATAGCTCTGGCCTCAGTAGAAATGACCTGAAATAGCGAGGGGTGCGTATCAACCACCTAGAAGTCACAGAGTACTGTCAAGTCATGTTGTCTTCTGGTTAGAATAGAATAGAATAGAATCCTACGAACCGAATTGGAAACCGAATTTCTTCATGAGCTCATTACTTCAATGGCTAAGACTGGTGACAGACCTGGCCAATTTGTTGAAGAGCTCTTTCTTGAAAGAAGCAGCGGTGAGAATCGGCTGAGGGAAGCTGGTAGCTGCTTTCACCCGGCCTTGCGTTCAGTTGTCATTTCAGGGTTCAGATCGATGTTTCTTGCTTCTTGAATGCATGCGTTACGAGGGCACCAAGGAAGGTTCAAATTCAGAATGGAGGTCGTCGAAACAGAGTCATACGCACACCATCTTTGTCAGCAGTCCGACCTCTCCAGAGCGTTCTGTCCACCTCACTGACAAGCAAATCCCCATCTTGTGACACAAAAGTCAATCGGGAGGTTGCTCGACGTTCATATTGTTTCCAGACATAGAGAGCACCTTCGTGACCCAAACTTGTGCAACTGTTCTGATCCAGTCCATCACGAGCGTTAGTGCTAGAGAAAACGCCATGTGTGGCTGGCGCGGGATGCTTTTTTCTCTCGTTGTCATACGTACATGTGAGCCTAAACTCCACACCCTTCAGCGTTTGTAGTGAGCCTAAACTCCCCACCCTTCAGCGTTTGTAGTCCAGGTGGGGGTTCGAGCTCCCATAATCTAACTTCTCTGATTTCGACCATGTGGTCAAAGTGTATTCAAGACAATGAGATTATAAACATTTGCTCTTTCACAGACAAATTATCTAGAACTGAAAATAATAACGTGCTGTCTGTTATCTCCACAAGAGCAGCAGACAAGCTCTTTGTTACATAAAGATCTAACCCAACTCTGGGTGACTTTCTCAATACCACAGCCGCTGTGATCTATCCTAGCTCCGAGTTCCACTCCCAATTCCTACTCATATTTCAGTGTTGATTTCTCAGCTTCCACCTTCAGACTCCACCAGATTCCTCTCTCAGATTCAACTCTCCCTTTTCAGTTTCAATTTCAGATCCCGACTGTCAGATTTCAGTCTCAGATTTCGCTTCACTCTCAGCTCCCATTCTCAGGTCTTCCACTATGATCTCAGCTCCCACTCACAGATTACACTTCAATCTCAGATCCCACTCTCAGATTACACTTCAATCTCAGATCCCGCTCTCAGATTACACTTCAATCTCAGTGTAATAACCCACCAAAGGCTAAAACTGCAGTATGGTGGTAAAAAGATCGAACCCACAGGGACAGAGGCAACACACAGAGTAAAAGTGTCACGTTTAACAGACTTTTGTAGAGTTTGAATTCTAGGCGACTGTCACTCCCAGAAATACTGCAGTGCTCGACTCGGAGGCTCGACTCGGAGGAGGATCTCGACTCGGAGGATGCTCGGAGGATGCACGGTACAGCGTGGTCACTCAACACACACACACACACACCTGAAACTGGCAAAAAGCACAATCCGGAGGTCGGTCAGGACCTCCGCTTCGGATTTCAGGAGGAAAGTGTCTCACAAGTTCACTCAGAGGTTCTGCAGGTAGTGCCTCCCACTCCGGCTTTTACTGCCCTTCCGCCAGGAACTAGCGGGGGTACCCGGACTGGACTTCCCACTTCGGAACGAAGCCTCTACATACGCCGTGGACGTCACCCTTGACTATCACACCAAACGCAGGGAGTGTAGACCCGACTGAGAACTTACTGAAAACACGATCCAGTAACACACACACAACCTGAATTACAAACCAAGGTTTACACGAAGTAATAAAACTTCACATTGGCATTCAGGGGAAACTTCCCGTAGGAGTACAATCAGGATATGTCACTCGAAGGAGTAAGGGGGAACTGTTCAAGTATCTAACTCGCAGCCGGCTCTTAGCATTAGAAATCACCCGCAGGTGCAGATCCGCACTACTCAAGTCTCTAACCGGGTGCTAGCTCTGAACATTCAGCCGAAGGCCTTCAACTACAACATACGGTAACTTCGCTATGCTGCAGCTTCTCTACGTGGTGCCAGGTCCAAAATGCACAAACACGCTAAGAAAGTGAGTTCCTGATCTGCACTTCCGAAACTGGAAGAGTCCCAAGGCAAAACGCCTTGATCTACTTTATACCCTCAAAAGATCCTAACTAGCACTACGCTATCCTATCTACTACTCGCAGCATCTGCGCGAAACCAAACTACTCTACTGCACTCGGCAGATCCGGTGCTGCGCCTCCTGCGCGCCGGACTGCTCCGCTTACTGTCTCTACCTTGCCAGTCTTCCGACCGGCTGCGTAACCCCAGGCGTCGGAGCGCTGTGGTGACTTCCGACTGCAAGTGCGCCATAGTGTCGCGCGCACCCGACAAGAAGGTCTCTAATTTTCTCGCCACTCGCCGCCGACTCCGACTGTCACCCTCCGTCAATGCCGCCGCCCGAAGCTCGAACTCCCTGAGTGTGATCCTCTCTTGAGCTGCCACCTCCCAATGGGCGTATCCTTTTAGACAACGAGTCACCTGTGTCGCCAATTCTCCTCGCGCCCTGCAGCTGCTCTCCACCTCTGCCAGCTGCATTTCTAATTCCGCACGTTGTGCCCTCAAATCCGAGCACTCGGATTGCAAGTTGCGCAACAACTCCTCATCCTCCTTGCGGGCTCTTTGACTTTCTTCTAAGGCGCGCGTCTGGCGCGCAAGCTCGGCTGCTAGGACTTGGTTCTGTCTCCGCTCCTCCTGCAATTCCGACTCGATCTTTGCCCGTATTAGCTCGGCATCCGCCTGACTTTTCGTCGCCGCATCCTCCCTCTGCTGCTGCAAGGCTTGGTATAGCTTCTGTGTGACCGCCAGGTGTTGTCGGAGGGCGGTGTTCCTATCCACATATACTCCGCACCTAGAGGCCCACTTTGCCACCTTGCTCCTCGTCCTTCGCCTGATAGTCTCCACATAAGACTGCGGTTTTAAAGCACTTGCGTATTTGGATGTCTTGCGATCCAGATATCGCAGGAGTGGAACTATCTGTTCGCACAGCACCCCTGTTGGCGTTTTCTGCACCGAATCCGCTTCCTGCTCTTCCGAGCTCGTCTCATCCTCAGTCTCGAGGATTTCAGTCGCCACCGAATCCCTTGGCGACTCCCTGGAACTGTGGCGCGCAGCAGCTTCTGCTGCGACTGCTGCTCCACTACCTGCTAAAATATCCAGGGCAGTGGGAGATCCCACTGCTTGAGCCCCTGTTCCGGCTCGATCTTCGGTTTCTGAAGGGGTCGACGCCGCAGTGACTCTTGTCACTCTTGCACCGCCCGCTTCTGCTGCCTGTCCTTCCGGCGCAATCTGCGCGGAAGGTGTCCTCGCTGAAGGTGCGTCCGCCGAAGGCGTCCGCACACTGGTCGTTGGCCCCATCCGTCTCGCAGTCGGCGAATCCGGCCGACTCTCTGTTGTCCGACTCGCAGTCGGCCGACCAGCAGTTGTCCGACTGGGAGTCGGATACACCCTACGCGTCTTGACTCCACTTGGCCTGCTTGCTGGTGGCGTTTTCCCAGAAGTGCCTTCCGCCGAAGACGACCCTCTGAGGATTGTTGGCTCGTCAGCCAAACTCTCTTCTGCTTCCGGCCTGCTGTCCGGTTCAACGCGCCGTTCAGTTGGCCTTCCTTCCGCTTGTCGGCCTTCAGTCATCCGACTCGCAGTCGGCCGACTGTCAGTCCGTCCATCTCCTCCCGAAGGCTGTGGTGCCTTCTGTGCAGAGGTATCTGCCGTCTTCCCTAGAATCTAAGCGATTATCTCCTCCTGTGTGATATTCCGCCGGGTCGGAGTTCGCCCGGTCTCCTCAGTACCAGTTGGCATTTTGCGTGCCCTCTGTTTTGGTCGACTGTGAGGCTCGGGGGTGGGCCGACCACGAGTCGGCGCAGCTGGCACTTCCGGCTGCATGTCCTCAGATCTCTCATCCCACTTCCGCTTTCGCGGAATGCGCTCACTTCGACGTTCTTCTGCTGCTCTTGCTGGAGCCGGAGCCGGAGGCGTACTGGCAGGTTCCTCGTCCGGATCCGTGTCTACTTCGGCCTCCCTCGAATATCTACCTGGATAGTTCCGGGTCAGCTGCGGAAACCGTGTTTTCTCAGCATTTGTCAAACATCCCATCGCCCGATAAAACACGATCAAGTAAGGCGAGAGATGATTGAGGGTTCCTCCTTTCTCTTCTTGCGCATGTTGGCGCGTCACCTTCCACAGGAGCCGTGCCCAATGCACTGGAGCTCCTGACAACACTAGCTCCACAAATTCTACCTGCCAACCATGCATGTAAGCGGTCTTGGTCGGCTGCAATATCTGCAGCAATGCAGTCGCGACATTTCTCCGCAATCGATCTTTGTAATCCCGTGTCCGGAAACCGTTCTTGGGATGCCTGGCAACTTTGAAGAGCTCATTGTAAGAGACTTCTTCCTCCAAGGACACCTTCACGCTATCGGCCTCGAAGAGGAGGTCCCCTTCCTCGCCGGCACACCTGCCCAACACCTGTGCCCAGTTGCAAATGTCCCATCTCTCTGGGTTTGGGCGGAATCCGCGAGAGGGCTTGTGTCTCTCCTGGAGATACTCGCGCACCATCTCCGGACATGTCCAGTTCCACCCCCATAGGAGAAAATCAAGCTTCAGCCTCAGCAGCACATCTTGAAATGCGCGTAGACCGATCTGCGGCACCCTGAGTGGAGACACTCGCAGCTGGGGAACCTTCGACATTGCGTTGCCTGCACACACAAACGTTCTCCCTTTCGCTCGCTCTCTCACAATCGCCACTGCGCGTCGGCCGCTCAAGCACTGACTGCTCACTCTCTCTGCGCTCAAGCTCAAGATCGCTACTCGCAATTCTCTCCAAGGTCTGCCAAGATTTTTGCGCAACTCGTCTCCGCACTCTCTACTCTCACTGTAGGTCGCTCCGCCCTTGCGCGTAATCTTAGAAACTGGAAATCGCAAAGTCAAGAATGAGAGAATGAGACTGGAGCGCAGTCTTTTCTTCTCCGATTTCAAGAACGTCCAACGTTCTTACTGGTTACAACGTACGCAGCCGGCTATACGGCTTAACGGTTCGCCCTTTGCATGCGCGAATTCACGTCTCCGCACTGCGCGCATTCGCATGCGTAAATGTTGAATTCTCCCACCGCCGCCACCTTCCGGACTCGAGTCCGCTGCAGGGTATACGTCGGCCCTGTTGTCTTTTCCTAACCCGTCCCTCACCGGAGGCGTGTCGCCGCTGGTGCGTTCATTATCCGTCGGCGCCTTGCTGGAGGCGCACATCTAGTCGGAGCGAATTACGCCGGCGCGCAGTCGTACCGCTTATTTTGTCCTTTATGCCTCGTCCGTTGCTGCCGGCGCATATCCGCCAGCGCATCCGGCCGTCAGCGCCACGTCGGAGGCGTACATCCGACCGGCGCTTTCCTTCCATG